ATTGCAAGTCCTGCCTCCCCCAAATGTCCCCCTCAGGGAACAATGACAACTCATCGAGAAAAGGGTTCCTTTTTGTGCAAATTTACATTTACCGAGAGAGAGTGACCGGATAGGCAAAGTGATGACTCAGCGTAAAGGAAGATGAAGACACATGTATAGAGTCATGATCTACACAGCAATAGAACTGACTCTATTTCCCCAATACCCACTCATTTCCCCTCAAACCAACACAAGACATGATTTTAAAATTGCTTTAATGAATTTAAATTTCATTTTACTAACTATGATTCGTCCGGGTATTTTGTAGTTCAATATAGTTGTTGAAACTGCCCGCAATTTCTTCCATGACATTTCCATTTATGGTGCCCTTTGATAACTATAACGAAATTTTATGTCATATTCCACACAAAAGCCTCGTTTATACGTTAAAAGTAGGTGTGTGTACAAAGTTGCATTTCTATAATAAATTTCTTAATTCTATCCCATGTATCACTTCGGTCTGATTTTATGACACAAACTATGTATGCCGAGGCTACACGTGTTTTTTTAATTTCCTGTATTTCTAAGCTATAGAATAGTTAAATCATAAATTATTYAAATCCCCTTAAATTAGCCTTAAAACCTAGCGCATAGCATCAGTAGGGCACTTTATGTTTATCGTTTCAGTTGCAGTTGAGGTAGGCATTGATTGCTTCTTTCGGTGGACTGTTCTTTAGGATTTTCTCTACAATCAAATAGTGTGGCAGCTTGGCAGACTTTGCGCCTTGCTTGAATATAGTTCTTCAGACAAAAAGAAAAAAAGTTATAATTAAAATCAATATCCAGTTTAAGGTACATAAGATCCGGACTCGGCCAATGCGCATGTCACCTTTTCAATCATAATAGATATAAATACTAGTTAATTTTCTTGTTTTGTGCTTTAAAAGCGATCGCAAGTGTAAACGTTTTAAATTCATTTTAAGGAAGATTAAAATGGATTGGCTACTTCCACCGGCTTTCACAAGTCTTYCACCGGAAGCTCTTATGAATCCGAGGGTTTCCGTATTTTTAGCTGGTCAAAGGGTGCACCGTCAAAGTGGAAAAGTAGAGTAACCGGCTTTTTTAAGGACCGAATCGCTTCCGGTCAATTCAACATTAAGTGGAGTGAATGGTTTAATCTCGACCATGCGCATAGTTACAAATTATCTTGTAAATAAGACAGCAAAGATTAGTCGATAAAAATATAGATATAGGAATTAWTCAGGTCTGAGCATTTTCGAATCGACGTTTAAATGCGAGAAATGCCACGTGACCACTAATACGTTGGGTYGGCACTAACACGCAGTGCATGACGGGATCATCACCTACCAAAAGATGACTCCTAACGAAAGATATTCTATTSGACTAAATAGCTAAAACTTCAATTTTTTCCAAGATATCTATAAATACGGTAGTTGATCGTGTAGTTGATGAGTGCTTTTAACGTCCTGTCATCAAAGAGACACCTCGAGCAAACTACCAAAAAACAACTTTTTTCATTCAACTCCGAGATCTTTTCGTGGACCTTTTCATATGTAATTATTAAGAAAATTCTTAGTCTGATTTGTCATCTACAATGTAAATATTTCGGAGTATGCCGCGAGRTGGAATAAAGCTTAAAAAAAGCTCAGTGTCTTGAAATGAGAGCTTATGGTATAAACGATACCGAGAGACGAGAGACAGTAAGGAGGCGACGTCTTCCTAATTATTTATCGCGTTTTAGCATTACGAAATTACGTTTTAATGACTTGTCAAATCTACTCAATGAGTAGAAAGCTAGTGGAATGGGATATCCTGAGAGGAGGGCGCGATACCTCTTCCTTAAAAATCGCGTTTCATATAGCCCCCGCGGGTTCAAATCAATTGTGGCTAATATTGCTGTATAAGTTTCTCATGAACGATGGGKTATAAATTCAAGACTGATTCTCTTAGACGACTGTCTAAAACGTAAAAGTCACAAAACGAAAAGAACGAAAATTTCCGACACACTGCAAGTTTGTCAATGAAAATTTGGAAACATTAAAATGAGCCTATCGCCCATTTTTAAAGCCAAATATGAATTAACAGAAATGGCTATTTTAAATTCACTTGATTTTAGTCAAAAAACAAAACGGACTAAACTGCTAGGTAGGTGAGTGACGCGCCACCGGGGAAAAATAAAACGAAAATAAAGATGAACTTCAGTACGCGCGTTCAAAAGCGTATGACCGCTGTACATTACTTACGTTATGACACGAAGTTGTTTTTTGCTCATGAAAACTGATGTTTCAACTGCTACTCATAAYTATCAAAATCCTAAATCAACGTTTTTATGTAAGTTTATTTATGTAGCAGCAGTAAAAATGCGGGCTCAAGGTTATTCAAATATGGAAAACATACTGCTCAATATTGAATAAAAAAACTGATTCCGAGACATGGGTCTGTAACATGGGTCTGTAGCTTTTCCTCTTGAGAATGAAAATGCAAAAAAAATCCTTTCAGATCACGCTCGATAGTCTTTTCGTACCTGTTTGGGGATTGTTCTTCGTTTTCCGAAAGGAGGTGCTGGCACAGGAACTGCACTCTCGCGGCTGTACCTCACAAGGAAAATGCCCAGCACAATGGCTGCCAATATGAAAGTCCTTTGACACTTCCCCATCTGGTATCGGGCTTTATACCTCTTGGTTGGGCTGAACTGAATGAGTGYGCAAAGCTGGTTTTTGAAATAGCTTATATAAGCAAGATTGGCCATTAACATCGCAGCTGCATATGACATTCCGTTTACGATGGCCGCCAATTTGCAGTTAACTCCCTCGTGTCATTAACGTATTTTCTATCGGCAACCGACGTTGACTCAAATTATTTTTTAACTATTTCAATCATTATATTTCAAAAGTGTTTCTATTTTGGTCGATTGCTGTAGAAATTATTTTAATTAGAAAAAAAAAACAAACTTTGTAACAAATCAAAACAAGGCAAGACTTAGAATAATGATGTTTTTTGCTTATACCTCAGATACTACGCGCATTTTCATTGGCTGATAATGCTTTTTTTTGTTAATAAATGGATCTCAGTAGTGACGCATTATTGGGAAACAATTGTATAGTGAAACCAACGGAGKTAGTTTTTCCGTGCTCCGCGCGACATCACTGATCGAGGGAGATGCATCACTAACGGGTTCCTGGGAGAAATATATCTGTTCTTATGTCCCAGCCAGCTGTAAGTCACAACTGGTTGCCAGCGAGAAATTCAGGAAAACATAACTCTCAAGACAAGTAATACTTTCTAAGAATTTTTGCCAGGAAAATAAAATTTCCTAACTAACAAAACTATGGTACTTTTTGACCATTAAAACGCTACAAAAGCATGGCAAAAACATATCTGTAGGTCCAAAAATTCGTCATTGGATCATCCTTAATACTGCTCTCTATAAAATCCAGATTTTGAGCAGTACTCATACTCTGGAAAAACACTTGTTCGAGTGAGTTTGCAAAAAACAATGGCCTGAAGGAGTACACATATTTTTGACTATTGAAAATAANCTCAAGACAAGTAATACTTTCTAAGAATTTTTGCCAGGAAAATAAAATTTCCTAACTAACAAAACTATGGTACTTTTTGACCATTAAAACGCTACAAAAGCATGGCAAAAACATATCTGTAGGTCCAAAAATTCGTCATTGGATCATCCTTAATACTGCTCTCTATAAAATCCAGATTTTGAGCAGTACTCATACTCTGGAAAAACACTTGTTCGAGTGAGTTTGCAAAAAACAATGGCCTGAAGGAGTACACATATTTTTGACWATTGAAAATAATTATTTAAGCTTATAAAATAAAATAACATCTATATCTATATGTGATTATAAGTGGGTCAACGCGAGGAAAACATGAACTATTTAAGCTTATTGCCCGTTCCGAAATTCAAAAAGGGACTGGTGACTAGTCACAAACTCGATACCGTTTGAAGCAATCAAAAAACAGACACMAGGRCAAGAAAGACCAAACTAAAATTAGTAAAGCTGCCGAGTTTGAGAGTATTCGAATTAATAATTACAGGGCAATTGAATTGAGACTAGACGTCAAAGCCAATTGTGTATTGAATTAAGTTGTTGTATCATAGATCTTCCAACGTAGGAACAACATTATAAGAACTCATTGAATTTTAGAAAATGATTAGAAGACTAGTTTGCATTAGATTATTAGCCCGCTCTGTGTTAAGTGCAGCTAACCATGCTGTGTCTAGAGAATTAGAAAATTTGTCAATGAAAATGATTCCAATCAAAAATTTAACCTTCTTATTACGTGTTCCCTGCTGACGTTGTAATAATGCATACTGGGCTGCTATGACGATATGCCTATTAAAACCTTATTTAACTTATATATATAGCATGCCTTGAGCAGCTTCACTGTAGAGCTGGTATTTTTCTGATGGAGAAGTTTTCGTTGTGTGAAAACACAAAACAAAACGAAACAAAAAAWCAACTATAAAAAATTGAAAGCTTAACAACATGACGTGTAAAAAACGTTGCCTAAGAAATTAGCGCCGTAACCAATTGAACTGAGGAGGAAGATATTTTTTTCCGGTTAGGAAAACTGTAAACAATCACCAGGCTTTAAAATCTACTGCCGATTTCTCTGCAAAAAT